AAGCACTCTCCTGGCCTCTTGTTACTATTCTGGACACCTCATTATCATGAAGGAATTTAGTATCTCTGGAGCAGATCTGGTAAAGAAGGGAAGCTTTTACTGTTCTCCTGTGCCAGATAAAGTGTCCTGGAACCTGCTCACAGATGCAGACTCGATCAGATAGAAGCTGCACCCCTGTCCCAGGTTTCCCCTGACAAACACAAACAGATGTAGATGACTGTTTGGAAGTGTAATTTAATATGTCTCCTTCCTTATGTTCCCATAACAATATCTGAGGGCCAGTCTAGAAGTCATGGAGCATACACTTGTGAAGTCACACAAAGGCTATTTTGCGAGCCTGAAAGAGGCTTGATTTGTCTGCATAACAAGTCAGCATAGCCATTTTACACCAAATATGAATGTCTGGGTTTGTATCTCAATATATGACAATGTTGGCTTATTTTCTTTTTCTATCAGAATGGCCTGTGGTTTTCTTCCGTCCCCAGGCAGCCGTTTTCTGAAAACCTACAGAAAGAGTTATGCACATTTCCTCCCATGTATATTTACAGTGGGAAAAGAGTATAGTGAGTGAAATCTAAGATCATGAGGAAAATATATTTCTATAAACCATGTTACTAAGTTGTTTGAGGGACTTTGTTAACAAGAGAAAGTGCTCAGTCATGTCTTTTATATGTTTAAATTTATTGTGATACAACTTCTTTTGGTTAAAAAGGCCAAATACACAGATTTTTTTTTTTTTTAACAAACTTTCAAGTGATCATTCAATAACGTTTTAGAAAAGAAACAGAAAGGCTGCATTCAAAGAACATGCACAAGTGAATTCAGTATTTCATATGGGATGCAAAGAGAGAGTAATTTGTAAACTGTGAGATAAAAAACGATATCAAGAGAAGAGCAATTGCCTTATATAACAGACTTTGATTGTAAATAAAATGTCTGGGCAGGATGTTTAACTGTAATAAATTGGCTGTTTGGGTCTTTGCTGACATATCTTTTTAGCTTTATTGACATTAGCTATTTTTGTATGGAACTTTATTGTATGGGAAAGAGTTTCCCATTTGGAATTTGAAAAACTAACAGTACAAGCATCTTGAAAGTACAGAAGATGCTGTTGGAGAGAGACTGAGAAGGCAAGAAGACAAGAGCTGAGTCTCTTGTATGCAAGAAAATCACAGAAAACACAGGTGATGGAATGTGGATATATTTAATTGCATTTCGAGCAGGATCAGCATTTTGCTAGATTTCTTTTACTGGCCATTTATAATGCAGGAAGAAAAGGAGGAGGGAGAATGAACCCTCTCAGTATTGAATTATTGTAATCTGAGTCACCAGTGAAACCAAAGGATTAGGCTTCAACTTTATCTGGGAATGACATTCCTTCCATCCAGCCCCAGCACTTACTGCCAAATGAACAGCTCTGCCCTCAAATTCCAGGAACATGGAAGCAGTTTATCAACCAGGCTCTGGAACAAGCCTAAATGCTACATAAAAGACTGAAATAACCTTCCATTCTGTTCCATTAGGGTCTTCAAACAAATTTAGTATTTTCATATTCTTTTCCTTCTTGGCTATTCCTAATTGAAATATCCTGCCCTGTCATGTTGAATTCTTCTATTTTCACCTAACAAGGTTCAAGAACCTACCCAATGCTCAGACTTTTGGGAGATGTGGCCCTTCCAGTGAACCTCCAAGGCCCTGGGGATGTGTGTGTGCCCAGAGGGGAGAGCAGGTGGGAGCAGGGAGGCTGCACAGTGTTGTCCTTTCCAGGACAGACCCCAGTTCAGCAGAGAGGCATCACTGCACTGGCCGAGGCACTTCTCCCATCCCATTCCTATTCTCCTGTGGTTGAGGAGCTTTCCCACAGCACAGGTGTGGTGGAAGAACCAGCCCTTTTCACTCTGAATTTCACACCACAGGGCTTTCACTTGAAAATCTGCCATTGGAGAATGGAAAAGTCTGTCCATTTAGGGAAGAGGTTTATGTTTGGCATATGGCTGGTGACACCTTTCTCCAACCAGGCTGACACAAGGCAATCAATCATACATCCCTACTCTTCAGGAGGTGTGATCTCACTTGGACCATGCCTGACTATTGACTATTCCATATTCAGAGTTCCTCCCTGTCCAGAATTTTAGGTATCATCTCAGTTTAGAGATGATAACTCTCATGTCAAGACTAAAGAAACAATGGGAAAATCTCAACACCCCAAAGCATAAAAGAGAATACACATCAAACACATCTGGAAAGAGATCAGTGCTACTTCAGTGGGTCCTGTGTCATAGTAGCTTCAGTTTCTAAAATGGAATATTAGGGGCCTGAGAAGACTAGAAAAGACTTATGGGAGGAAAAGGTTCAAATGACTAGACTTTCTACCTTTTTTTTCTTTCAAAACTCACACTTTCCTTGCAAGCAGGATGGCTAGAAATTTATCCCCAAATGTAGTAAGCACATGAAATGCATAGCCTTTAATGTGCAAATTCTATACTGCACAAGGGAATAACTAATGAGCCACTATTTTAATGAATCAAGTTAAAATGGCAAGGTGACATATCTCATTTAGGGGAATGAATTCTTAATGTCACTGTAAGATGATCCCCTCCTTCCCCTCTGAAGGGAAGACAGTACTGGTTCGGGTTAAAGTCCTGCCTTTTTTGTGTTTTGTTGGATTTTCCACGGTCCTTGGGAGCTCTCAATGGATCGTACACTTCTGGAAAACAATGACAGCTGTTGATCAGGGAAGCTATTTAGGCATACCCAAGAACTACACAGCAAACAAAGATGAGCCCTGCCCTGGGTGCCCAGTACCCTAAGGGAGCAGGGTGGGCACAGGCAGCTGCCTGGCACAGCCTGGGGACATCTCTGCAGCCAGCAGGGCAGCATCAGCCTGCTGCCCTCCAGAGAACAAACCTCCTTCATGGGCTCTGCACCTCCCATTCCTGCTACCAAACATTTCCTAGTACAAAACATCTTCACATGCCCCCTGCCACGAGCTGCTCCTCACAGGACTGTTCCTGGCCCACAGACATTCCCAGAAGCAGGGCTTTGCTCCCCAGAATGGTACCCTATGCCTGATCTTCTTAGTTCAAAGAGAATCTTTAAATCCATGGCAAAAAGAAATCATCACCCTAATCCTTACCATCTCTTTCCACATTTTTAAGTTGCATTAGGAGAGGGTGATGGGGAGCTGGCAGCAGGGCTGTGGGACTGCCTGGCCCTCAAGGGATTTGGTGCTGCCCATGAGAAAAGGCAGTGAGGACAGGGTGGAACTCTGCCTGGCAGCCAAGGAAAATGTGGGAGAAATTTACTTCTGTCTGACCCTGAGCATTACTCAAGACAATGATCTGCCCAGTTAATTAACCCAGAAATCTGAAAGGATCTGCACTAAATTCCTGCACACTGCTGCTCAGGCTCTCGTAAATTCTTGATTCACATTGGCAGGTCTGATCCAAATCCCAGTAAAGTCAATACGAATCCTTCAATCAACTTCCCTGTATTTTCTGAGTCATTTCAAAGCTCCACTGACCACATAACTTTTCTAAAAGCAATATTTAAAAAAAAGTGCATTTGTACCATTATTCTTTCAATCTCCTACCCCCAGTAACTACATAAGATTATCACAAAAACCTATGCCATGCAGTTGCTATCATGAGCTGCTATCAGACTATAATTTGCTTGCAGACAATATAGCAAGAAACAAGAATTGATTCAGTAAATTTTAATATTTCTCTTTTAGTCCTGGCTGTTTGGCACAACTCTGAGCAGCCAGTAATGAACAGGATTTCCAGTGCCCAGCAGGCACATGTGACTGTCACTGACTGAAGGATAAGAATCCCTCAGGATTGTGTAAACAGTGTTCAAACTGCAAGGTACTATGGACAAGGATTTAAGTAATCTCTGCGGCTGGGAAGCAGTGAAAGAGGCTGGAATCATCTGTCTATGAAAAAGGAGCAGGGAAGAGCATTTTGATTTTTGATTTACTGAGTGGGATGGACTCTGCAGCAGATAGCTGATAACCTCTTTATGCAAAGTCCACAAGCTACAAAGATTGAAGAAGGGAAGAAGCGCTGCACTGGAAATAGGAAAATAATTTATTTATAACCAATTGTCTATTACTGTTCACAAAGAAATTGTCAGAGTCCTAGACTCCTAAATGTATTCATTATTTCAAATTGTTCTATTTATTTCTTCAGCAAATAAGCTATGTATTCTGAAGGCACTGAAGTTGTGAAATGTACAATTGACTATTCCATTCACAATCTGCATTGGCTTGGATAGCTGAATTATTTGCATCGTTTAATTACATAACACAGGGCATGAAAATTGAGCCTTTAATCACCATGAGTAATGCTTACTCAAGGAAGAAGTCCTACTGAAGTCCAAAGACTAAAGACTTTTCAACATTAGTAAATGAGTCAGAATCTGGCCTTGTTCATATTTTGTGCTCTGAGGTAGTTTTCCTCCTTGCTTTTCAAATATGTACCTACCATACACAGTGTTGCCAGGAAGCAGCAATAGATATCTCTTGACTTGCTTAGTCAGCCAGCATAGGACCAATCCAAAGCTGAAATGCTGAGAAGGATGTGAAGTTCAACAACTCAGGTCAAGGAAGGACAAGAGGGAAATACCTGTTTCCCCAGAGCCTCTATGGTCACGAAGTACAAACACTTCTGTTTAAGGAAAAAAAAGAAAGAAAACACAAGAAACCACAAAACAACCAATATTCAAGCCTCTTTTGAAATTTAAATATTGGTAGGTTAAAACAAAGCCTAAAATACCATACAGCAAATGAAAAATAAGACAGAAGTGCACATGATTAGCTTTTAGAACCACCAAAGAAAATTATGAGCTGTTCTGTCATCATTTCTGGAGGTCTTTAGGAGAGATCTAAATTGCTATTGTGGGAAGAGCACTAATAGAAAAAACTACAAACATATGCTAACTTGCAGCGGTTTGTTTGCCAATTAACAACAAACCAACACTCCCCAACTAATTAGACAAAGTCAACAAGCAATGTTCTTTATTGAGACAAGTGCTGTAAAGGAGACATTGGCACAAAGAGCTGACAGATCCCCCCTATGTCCTACCAACAGTGTCAGCACAGATCTGAGGTGAAGCCACGGTGTAAGTGCTGAGCAGCAGAGACAGCACAAAGGGCAGCTGGGTCAGTGGGAGCCTGTAACATACACGTGCACCTGTAAAAAAGAAGGTTATGGGAGGACTGAAAAAGAAGAATCTTCAAAATCAAGTTTTTCTATAAGTTTTTTTCTTTTTACTTAAAAGGCCACATTTTGCTAAAACGGTGATTTCAGCAACAAGAAATTTGAACTGAGTCAGAATTAGTTTTATCAGCCATTCCTGATAGCTGTCTCCAGCTTTCCTTGAGAAAAGGTGAAGTAAAGGTTCAAGCCTACCTTGTTCTATTTAGAGATTGAGCCAAAGCAACACTAAAAGCTGGTCTAGCCAGTAATTTGAATGTCGAGCTATTTACCTAGCTTCATTAGTATTTCAGTTTGTACTTGCTTAGTAGAGTTTTGCCCACATCTGATGTGCTTGGTTCATTACAAGAGCTTGCTAATAAATAAACTGGTTTAGTAATAGATGCTGATGCCTTAAGTTTTAGCTTTCATATTTTCCAGATTCTGTACTGCATCACTATATAACTCTGAATTTCATATAAAGTGTTAGCATGATCTCCTCACAGTTCAGTCAGGCAAAATAATCCTTTTCCAGCCCAAGAACCAAGGACACTGTTGCAACTTCAGGCCCAAAAACTACAAACAGCAACAAATTGGACAGAGCAATCTGGGAGGATGGGACCTCACAACCTGAAGCTGTAATTGGACAATTGACCCCAATATGTAAATAGACCAAAACTCACAAAAGTGTGAAAACCTGTGATAGGCGTGGGTCCATCCTGGGTGTAGCCTCAGGAGGGCTCTTGCACTGCCCAAGGTGTATCCTTTGAAAGCCTTTTAATAAATCCCTACTTTATTCCTTTGACACTGTCTAGCCTCTGTTCTAGGTAGCCTCTCAAGGCATCAACACTACAACAAAGTTATCACTTATACCTTTGGCCTTTTATCCTCCTTTTATGAGGAAGAGGGAAGTTACTTTTGTAGAGGATTTCACAATTTATTTTGTTTTCCTTGGGAAGAAACACTGTGAATTTTCAAACTTCTCTAGATATTGAAAAAAATTGTTCAGGATCAAAATGCTTCAGTATTGATGGATTCAATGGAGGATGTTATGCAATAGGAGACAACAGAGAAGAGGCAAAATCATTGTCAACTGCTCAGATTCAGACACTACTCACTCCAAAGCAATAAGGGAATGTGGGCTTTCTGGAGGCAGCAGTGGTTTGAGTTTTGTTTTTGTTTTAACATATTGTATCTCTTAGATTAAGCATTAGACTTCAGGTCTCTGAATCCTTCAAGTAGGCTTGTGCAAAAGTACCCACACTTTTTATGCTCTTCCCCTTCCCTCCTCCTCTTTCATTTTCTCTTCCTGCTTCCCCATCCTTGCAGTGAAGCCTCTCAGACTTGGCAGGAGCTGCTGGGCTGCAGCCAGCTGCTACTTCACACTCAGGTGGTGCTTTCAAGGCACAGTCCTGCAGCAGGGTGGGGTTGGATTGCAGGCTGCAAACCAAAGCCAAATCACGATGCCCCGGAGAGCACAACACACAGGTGCTGCTGCTGCTGCAGGAGGGAGCCTCTGCACAGTCACCACCCACACAGGTGTGTGAGGACACCAAGCCAGGTCAGACATCTTAACGGCAGTGTTAACACCACCCTGTGCCAAAGTGAATACATCCCCTTTGTCTCAAGCCCACTGGACCAATGCCTTTTCCACCAAAATCAAGCTAGGGCTCCTTCTGTTTATTTACAGGTCTCAAATAATGGTTGTATAGTTCAGTTCCTCAGTACTCCACCCCATTTAGCTTGTTAGCTTTTCACCAAGGTCTAAAGGAATAAACCTAGCTACAGGGAACAGAAGTCATTCCCTTTCCTTGGGTCTTCATCTGGCAGTGTTAAACCTAAAAGCACCAGAGTCACAAGTCCTCTGCTCTCATGGGCATATTGCTTACATGAAAAAGGAATGATCAGATTTGATGGGGACAAATAACAAGTCTGCATTAAGTTCAGTCAAGGAAATCAAACCTATTTCTTAGCAACTCAATTACATGATATCATCTACCCTCTTCTTTAAGACAACCAGAATTAGGCGCAGCAGAAAGCCTGGTGGACAGAGGTGTCCCCACAGAAATGGTGACACCCAAGCCTGATGGAAATATTCAGCAGTGACTGGTTTCTGCCACACCTCCTGCCAGCTGGCATGCTAAAGAGACAGCCAAGTTTCTAGGACTTCAGTGGAGGAATTAAAGCACCTGCTCTACAAGGGGATACATGAGATCAGCTTTACCCTTTCAGTGGTGCAGAATGAAAGAGTTAAAAGAAGTTCCTGCTGTACACATTCTACACAAACTTATATGCCCAAAGGCACTGCATTTGCGTTCCTGTAACTTATGTTTTCCCTTTTACTTATCCCTAGTGGTTCATTATTGCAGGCCTTCTGACTTGTGAGAAAAAGACTCACTATTCCCTCTGGGAGTTTTGCCGCTGCCCTCTTGCTCCCCATTCCTCCCTTTTTTGTTTATTGTCTTCCAACTACCTCTCCCATTCAGGTTGGGAAAGGAGGCAAGAGGCAAAATTTATATCATGATTTCTCCCTCCTCCACAGTCTCATTTCATAATAATTTTTCACTTAACAAGAGAAACACCATCATAACGTGAAGACATTCTGGTGTCTCAAGCCAGACAGGTTTATTCAGAAAGCAGAGAGAAAGAAACCACAGCCCAAGTTAACAGCAGGGATCCAGAGCACCCTCTGAAATGTTGGCTGTAACCCTCCTGAATCTCTCCCTCCTTGTGAATAAGTCTGTAATTTAAACAAATCAGGCCTCAAATACTTCTTGCTTTCAAGTCTCCTACACTTGCTTGCAAGATTCAAATGCTTGCAAGAGTCAGAGGCTGCTTTTGTACAGTGTTTGTAGGTGTTGGCAAAAGTGCTGTTGCACCAAAAAGAAACCCTCTTTTCTACTACCATCAATCAGATATTACAGCAAAGACTATTGTATGTCTATTTGCTGATTTATTTCTTTAGCACAGTTTTTCACCCTGCCAGTCTTTTTGCCTGTCTTCCTAGTTGAAGAACCCAATATGTGAATGTAGCAGCTGCCTCTGTGATCGCTGAAAAAAATTTTAATATTTCAGACCTTATTTTTTCTTTTGTAGGGTAACAGGAAGCTGTGACACAAGGTGGAGTTGCATCCTTGTCTCTTTTGTCCAGCCACCTTTAACTTCTACATGGGACAGAACATCTGAAAGAACATGGGAAGCTGAGCTCAGGAAAGATGAAAGTGGTTGAAGGAAAAAGGTAAAAAATATAAAGATAATTTACTGCAGGATTTTTCTAAATATATCAATTTTTCTTGTGGATGCAATAGCGTGTGCTGCACATGTTTTCTTTTCTAAGAATAAATAATTTGCAGGTGCGTGGAGCTCTGCTACAACAAATATTTCAAACTGAAGCTACGTTTTCTTCATATGATTAATATGTTACATTACAGCTTGCTTATAAATTAAAGGAGCAGAATATGATGTACTGCAAAGGATTTGTATATTTCCCCTGCTAAGCTACAGTGACTGTAAATCATTTTCATCACAGTTCATTTTTAATTTGAATTCATAAAAGGTTGTACATTTATTTGTGGCTTTAAATGAAAAAAGATTAAAGGCTGTAAACTTAAGTGTTTATTAAAGGAAAAAATATGCTGATCTGAAACTTCAGGAATTAAAATATAAGTAAAATATAAGAAAGGAGAACAAGTAAGATTTCTAGTTAAGCCCTGGGAATTCAATATGAAATTTAAGGTCTTCTACTATAAATGAATCTGTATTTGGTCAAGTGAGGATGGTAGGGGAAGACAAGGATGAGGAAATGGAAGGACAGGAGTTTACCCAGCTCTACCCAGAACAGGGATTTGTGAAGTCAGTTCCCATGGTAGATAATTGTTGAAGAAGTGGAGCCTACAAACACAAAAATAAGTAAGAACCACTTCCCACATGATGCCAAACCTCATTCCTGCCCTTCTGCAGGCATAGGCCACCACATGGGCTGGCCAAGCTGGACTTTGAGATGATATCATAAGGCCAGATCCCAAGTGAACCTTCAGATCTCATTTTTGGCAGCCACAAGGCTATGCCTCCAGAGTAAAGGCTCTGAGGCAGCCTCAGTGATGATCTTTGGTAAAGTATCAGGGTTACTGTACACATCATGATTTTGTTGAGTGGGGACTCTCTACTGGCATTTTGCTTATCAGTCCTCTCATCTAGTTTAAGGAGAGATCACCATAATTAAAATGATGACATGCAGGGGGAAGTAATTTTAATCACTTTAGCAGCAAAGAAAGCAACATGGCATCAGACTAAAATTTTATGAGAACAGTAAACTAGATTACAACTGTTTATAATGCCTCTTTCAAGAAACTCTTTTGCCCATCAGTAGCAATCTCACAGGTCTACTATTAATGGAAACAATTGCCCTGATTCTACACATACAAATTCATAATTCCATAAAAAGTAGCAGCCTTCCCGCTTCACCTCTCCATTGACTGATTTCAGTGGGAACATGTGTTTAAAAGAAATCATAGAGTATTTTTTATCATGTAGGAATGCAGGTAAGTATTTCAAGATCCTTTCTGTATCCCACATGCTTTAATATGAACACTAGTAGAACAAACTGGAAGGCCACATTTGAAATGGCAACCACATATTTCAAAGGGAAACACTCCCATTTCACACTGTAGCTGCTGGGACTTCTCAGAGAGTCCAAGAGCAGCAGGCAAGCCTCATGACTGCCTCTTAGTGCAGTCTAAGAGCAACCGCCATGTGAAATAACCATAAAGTTTGAGGTTGGTGCTCTGTACGAGATGAGAATCAGCTCAGCCAGGATCCCTAACCCTGCACTCGGTGTCTGGAGAACGTGTAGGAAAACCCCAGCCAGCAGGACCCAACAGGCTGCTTGGAGAGCCAGGATCCTATCAGGTGCCTGAAGAATGTTGTTTTGCTTGGCATTTCCTGCTTGACTGGTTATCTTCCTAACAACCAAACTTTCTTTGTCTTAATTTAAAATG